CCACCCTGCTCTCCTCGTGGGACGCAGGCTCTCTTCTAGCCGCCCCCCCCCCCCGCCTTTATCTTTCACACTTTGGCAGGGGTCAGCTTTGAGGTCAATGCCTTAAGCAGCTTTCTCCGGGCCCTCCTCCCTACTTCTGTTCCGATCTGGTATGGCTTCAGACCTGAGGACCATCCTTAGCACCTTCCAGGTCCCTGGTCATTGTAGGCCTCCTTCAGCCTTGTGATCCTCTCGTGGTCCATCTATCTGCCTGTCTGAGGACGTTGTAAACACAGAGCTGGGGACAGGAAGGGAGGCCACCCTGCTGGAGACAGTCCGATGTGAGAGTACAAGAACTTTGGAGCAAGGGCCAAATGGCTTCATCTCAGTGGATGTCAAGGTGCAGGCTCCTGTCAACCCATGTTATGTATGGTGTGCCAAAGCCTCCCCCATGATCATCTTAATAAACACTCACAACCGCATGGTGAACTAGTTGCCTTTGTCTTTGGTGTACCCAGGAGAAAGCTCAGGTGCCTTCCCCACGTGCTCAGCTAGTCAGTCACCACACGCTGACTGATCATCATGCACCTGACGCGGTCTCGGGCTTCGGAGATAACGCAGAGAGCAGGGCAAACTTCATGTCCTTGTTGTGGGCTCCTTGGGAGAAAGGGAGTTGTTGAGCTGCTAATTTCAGAGGTCATCACGTAATTGCAATTGTGATTGAGTTCTGCGGAGGAGAAATAATGAGGCAGTTAGGGGCTTCATAGAAGGAAGGACTTAGCTGACTCCACGGGCCAGGAAAGGCTGCCCCAACGAAGTGGCATTTGCGCTGAGGTCCGAAGGCTCACAGAGGAGGGGGAGGGGAGGAGGGGTTTGGTTCCAGGATAGAACACATGGGAAGCTTCTTGGTGGCAGGAAATAAGACTTCCTGGAAGAACTGTGTATCAGCCACTGTGCTTAGGGGGCCAAGGAGTGGGCTGAGTGACAAGAGAAGAGGTTGGAGAGGTGGACAGGGGCTCGGTCATGTCGGGTCAAGTAAGCCATGGTGGCAGCTTAGGCTTTGGCTTAATAGAATTGGTAAGCCAGTAAAGGCTTGCAAGCAGTGGGGAGCAAGGGTTATATTTGTGTTTACTGTTGTTGCGTTCTGTTTATTGGGTGGAGAACGGCTGGGAGAGGCAAATGTTTAGAGAAGAGCACATGGTGGTGTCAGGAAATGATTAGGCAGCTCTTGCAGAGGTTTCTGTGAGAGGGGACAGTGCCTTTGACCAAGGGCATGACAATGGAGACACGTGGAGGATGTGTCCTGTGTAATTCAGAATCATCTCACCTGTGCGTTTTGCATGGGCTGTGGAAGGCACGTGGGAACGAAGACAAGGTACACTCTGCATGCCAGAGGCAGGGCTACCTGATTCTCCTTCAAGGACCATGGCCCCCGGAATAAAACTTCCTCCCTCTCAGGGCTCAGCTCTGCATGCCCGGTTGGCAAAGCCTAGGTCACCTGCTTCTGCCCAAGTGGTGAAACCGGGGACACGTGTTTTGTACTTACTGTAAATGATGTTGGGAAATAAGTGCCAGGCTTCTCTCATCTCCCCTCTCGCCCTTTCTCTCAATTAGAAGGTAGGCTTTTCCTTCATTGAGTCTCCTATCCTTTCACATGTAGAATGCGGGCTCCTATGTTGAGGGGCTACCAAGAGCAAGAAGTGTCTTCATCTTGATTATTTTACTTCAGACTCACAACAGTTTTGTGAGGTTGAGTCTGTTGTAGGGGGAAAAGCCCCCGTCTTGTCCCCATGTGTCAGCTCTACCGACACGGTGCCCTTTAAGGAAGGAAAGACCATCGGTCCCATCCAGCTCTTGCGGTCCTGGAGGAAGAGCCTTCTGCCCAGTCTTCCCATCTCTCCCACCCTCCCACTTAGCTACTTTCAAGAGTGTTTACTGTCCCACCCTGTTGACAGTTCTAATGGACTCGCGATGAACTAATCCTTGCAATTTTGAGCTGTCCTGGGTTGGCCTATCAGACAATGGCAGAAGCCGCCCTGGGGCCGCTTTCTAAACGAATAATTTACTGTTCAATAGTCATCATTTCCTGCAAGCGTCCGGCATGGGAGCAAGGGCTGCGCCTAGTGGGGTGCGGACACAGAAAGGAACAGTGTAAATGCAGATGCTGTCACCGCACTGGAGCCTCTGAATGAAATCAGACGTGTTTAAGGCTTCCAGTCTGTCTTGTCCACCTGTCCTTCCTGGTTGGAGAGGACTAGCCAAAAGCCGTGGCGATAGGAGGCTGCAAGAACCATGATTGCGTTCTCACTCAGTTGTGTAAGGCGTCCCCACCAATCATAGTCCACTGGACAACTGACAACTGGTACTGGTTGGGAGGGCCCCCGAGGAGGAATGAAGGGGCTGCCTCTTCCCTTCTTCCTCTCTGCTGAG